CACTGCTGTGGGTAAGCTCATTGAATTCCCCAGGATGCTTGTGAAGGTCCTCTTTCTTGACACCCTTCCTACCAAGTTCCCTGCTCTGGGCCCACATTCCTCATTCCTGTCCACTAAACTAATTGAAGTCAACCACCAGGCCTTTAAAGCCGTGGAAATACATGGTCACAGGGCCGTTCCCAAGGCTGGCTGTTCCGCATTGGGCCCTTTATCAATAATATCTATAACTTTTAAAACTCTTGAACTGCCATTCAGAGTAGCCACGATTTTAATGAAATTTTTGGATTTAATAACGGTTGATATCACTTTAAATATTTACACACTCTCTTTATAATTAAAAACGCACTAAGCTTCGCCTACGACTATCTGTTTTATAGAATTGGAGATGTTCCATTGTATTCTAAATATTAAGATGCTCCAGGATCTCAAAAGAACTTTTTCTAAACAAGCACAAGCAAGTATTTCCTTTGTCCTAGCACTGTCAATGTTAGTAATTCTCCGGAGAGTCATATAGGATTGAACCAGAATTGTTTCTTTCTGCTTGCATTCCAAAACGACTGATAAGGACATAAAAATGTGTAGTTTCGACTTGAATTCTAGGCCTGTTCTGTTCTATGTTATATAAAAGAATTTCTCTGTAATCCTGATATTATACTGCTCTTTTGTATAAGCATATTTATAGGCACTTTAGAGAATACTTAGCCGCAACGTGTATTATAGACATTGGAAACAGTCATGTGTTCGCTTTTGGTTACTGCGTGTATATTGAGAGAGGTGAGCGCTTTATAATCTGGGTCTGGCCATGTGCTCACCTGGAGCACAGGGTTGTGCTGTGCAGACAGAGAAACTGCTCTCTTGGGCTTTTGTAGAAAGAAACCTGGCCCCGTTCCTACTTTTGGAAAGTTGGTGTAAAAGCTGTTAGGAGGAAGATACAAAGTAAGTGCTGTGTGGAATACAGCTTTCTTATCACACCAGGATTTATTTTAGAATCTTCAAATATGCTCATAACTTTTCTGAGAAATGACAACGCAGTTAAAATGTTTTGTGGTTGTAGTTGGTACAGGAACAAATACAGCTTTACCATCAAATCTAGAATTTTTTCTTTACCTTGTAATTTTCCAGCTTTGAAAAGCGATTTTGAGGGAAACCCCGAAGAAAAAATGTTGCTTTCTTTGGAAAGGAAAAACTTATACTTCAAGGTAACACTATACAAAATAAAAGAACTAAGACCAGAACCAAACTGTGAGGTTGTCCTGAGGTACCTTTTGGATTGGATCTAGGATTTGATTCTGTCTTGGGGGTGGGGCTTTATTTCTTATCCTCCACTTCCTAGCCTTTTTGAAACACCACAGTTCTTTTGGAATTGATCATAACTCCTCTTATGCAAATTTCTCTATTTGGATAATAGGATGCAACCAAATAATTTAGGAAGCTGTCAAAATATCCAGATATATTTGGCAGTATAAGTACCACTAGGCAAGAAAAAAAGCATAAGATAAAATAATGTTTATACAGTCAGCTCTTGATTATTCCATCTTGTTTGCAAAATTTTATTGAAACATTTTGGCTTTCTACAAGAAGGAAACACAATTTCAACA